CCCCAACCCTGCAGGAGACGGGACCTCCATTTATTCGTCCCTATCCGAGAAGACTAGAATATCTAACCATTTCTTGATGTTATAGAAAGGTAGCAAATTCTTCTCAATTATTTTAAGACCTTGAGTGTTGGTCCGGCCGGGGCTCAAACCCTCGACCTCCCGCACAACAGTCCGGCGCACTATCCATTGGGCTAACTGGCCGGCGGTCACTGTTTCCACTCAATCTACTGGTAACATGTCAAGAACATTACATAAGTTAATTGTGAAAAAAACACCACTGGTTTGTAAAAGTACCATAGAAACAGTTTAATTGCAGGGACCTAGGACTTAATATACGCTGTAATAATACATCAATTTTTTCTAACAGATGTCTACCATAATTTTCTCTCAGCTCTTAATATGATTTTGTCCTCGTCGGAAGATAACCCTCTGTTTTCTTTGACAAAAAATTGAAAAATGCTAGGATTCCATGTCTGCGACTTGATCTTTGGCCAGCATAAGAATAGCTTGGTTCTGAAGAGACAAAAAAATATGAAAACAGAAATAAATTAAACTTGTTAACTTCACATACCAGGGCTCAACACTAATGGTAGTCAACTAGCCACACACTAGTTGAAATTCAGTTTTGGCCAGTGGTTTTCGATTCCCACTAATCAGTTTGGCTAGTCTACCAACTGAGATTGTCGCAACATCTAAAATGTCACTAGCCACCTGGCTAGTAAGTTGAATAGTTACATGTAATGTCACACCCTGCATAAGGCGAGTCTTTAAATAAAAAAGGAAAAGTGTTATCAAGATGTAGAGAGATCCACTATGTTCCTAGAAGTTGTGTTCAAGACACAAAGTAATTAAGCTGCACTCTCAGCATCAAAACACATACATACACATATATGATTTCACATCTCTCAAAGTTTAATTACAGATTTGCTAAAAATAAAAATAAAAAAAAAAGAATCGCAGCTGAGTTACAGAAACAATGAAATTGAACTTCAATGGAAAATTTAGCCTGAAATGCCCATACCCATGCCAACATACTTGGCCTGAAATGCTGTAAATGTATAATTTCCTCATTTTATTTTTTTGTGTGCACCATTATGGTTGCCTGTGTGCTATTTGGACACAATGATTAAAGACTAAAATGTTTATTATGTTTATGTACTTTTCATCACTATTTCAGTTTATTTTCTCTTAGCTGAGGGTTTTGATTAAGAAATGTGCCATTAGGAGAAAAGTTTTAAGTAACAATGAGAAAATTCCCCAAAAGTAAAATTAACAAGGCCATGAAAATTTAGTAGTAACAGAATTGCGCATGATACTGTAGGTACAAAAGTTTCTTAACTCTGATGGCTAGTAAAAACTCCGATGTAATGAACATACTGTTATATCTCTAATTATACCTGTTGTATCCTCTGGAACTGTGGATGCTGTTGGTAATACATTTTCGCTTGCCGATAAGGAAACAAAGAATGCAAATGGTAGAATCCATAAGCAGATGGTGAAGTAAGCTAGGATCTGAAATAGACCGAGTCAAGATTATGCATTTGTTCATGACCATTAGGGATGAAGGCAAAAGGACTGGATAATGGGCAAATTCATTTCATGTGAGGACAAGGTCCATAAAAATGTGAAAATATGGCCAACACCTGCTAATCTTGTGTGAACAAGCTTGGTTAATAAAGGATCCACTACCTCACTAAGTATTACAACAAACAAATGCAAAATATGGTGCCCATCTCACCCGCTTTAATTCACCTTGTCTACTCAAAATCATCAATTTACAATTAAGTAAGCACATACGTGGCTTTTTTCAGCCTTGCACACCTAACCAAATACAGCCCTCATACATACTGTAAATTATTGACTGGCAATTTTCATGCACACAGGGCTACATTGGTCCAATGATAACATGTATTCTTTGACTGAACAGGAGCCTGGAGAGCTGGGCATCTTTTCTTTCAAGACATTTTGCCTGTGCTTCTTTACAGTTTTTCATTCCAGAAAAGTTTAAATTGAACCAAAAAAATAACAACAACACTATATAGTTTAAAAAAGAACTAGTAAATCCTATATCTTTCTTTTTCCCAGAAGTTTATTTGTAAACCTTCTCCTTCTATACATGTCCTACACTTAGTCCATCTTTCCTTAAATTACTCTTGACCAACAGCAAAACTGCATTACCTCAGAAAATGGATACCAAACGGAGGAAAAGTGGTCAAATGCCAAGTAGTGATTGACAAAAACCATAGCTGAAAATTCAGTAAGAAAATAGTTCTCAACGTTATTTTTTTCAAGTTGACAAATTATTCCTCTTTAAGTATACCCTTTTATACTAGTTTGGAGGATACTTGTTAGTTATTGGAAAAACAACATATATTAACCTGATGCACTATGATCCAGTTAACAAATAGGTTCCACGTGGATCACATGTGACATCAAAATCTGGCACATTTGCCTGTGCCGGAGGAAGGCGTAGTGTGCCAATTGCTTGTTCTTACCACATTCCAATTTTTTCTGTGATTTAGTGCAGCTACTAAACAGACCCAGAGCAACATAGGATCTATTTGTTTGACATCATAATGATAAAATAGCAAAATGTTGTTATTCATGGTGACACCATTTACACTGTATGTGTCTGTCCTCCAATAATAATAATAATAATAATGATAATATTAACACCTTTATTTAGACACGATAATGTTTAAAGCTGAACAGCTTGTGAAGTTGTGTGTAAATCCAAATAAAGTCTAAATTAAATAAATTCAAATGATGATGGTTTTTGAGGAGAGGGGAAAACCGGAGTACCCAGAGAAAAACCTCTCGGAGCAGAGTACAGAACCAACAAACTTAATCCACTTATGATGCTGGGTCCAGGAGTCAAACCTGGGACACATTGGTGGAAGGTGAGCTCTCTCACCACAACGCCAACCCTGCTCTCCCCTGTAGATCAATAATAAGTAATGACCACTCAAAAAGCTAGTAGAATTTAGCTTAACATCCGAAAAAATCTTTCATAACAAAATTCAATGGCAAGAGGGTTGTGTTAAGTAAGAGAAGAATAATCTTCATGTCTACATGTATCTAAAAATTGCTTACACCATCAAAATTCATTGAGATAATCCTGTGCACAAGTACCTGAGGTACTAGTACTGCAGTTGGGAGTTGGTCAGTTCCTCCAAGTGCAAGCCAGTTGGCAGACAGTTGGTACCTGGGACAGATCCATGATTTAGTCAAGGGGGTTTGGAGAATTGTCTGAGGGCATGCTCCCCTGGTAGATTTTGAATATTAGGTCTTCAGAAACATGACTTCCAGCATTCTGGTGGAAAATTTAGGGGATTCAACTTAACCAACCGAACCTCCCCTGGATCTGCCCCAGGGTACAAATTTTAAAATGTCTCCATACAATAACTTACCAACTCCCCCTAAAAACACTGGAGATGTCAGCTCAATAAATGGAAAATCTTTAAGAAGCAGGAAATATAGCCCATTGGTAAAGAGTCCTGCAATTATTATCAAGAGAGGAAAGCTTTCTAGCACAAGAAGTCCTATGTAAACCAGAGTTGTCACCTGTAGAGAACAAAAACAAGGAAGCTAATTGTTAATTCTTTAAAAATATAATGTCTTCCCTTGATGTTTAAGAGAGCTTCTAGCCCAGCTATGCCAGGAAAAAAAATCCTTGTCTGTTTCAGAGATTGAATACAGACTGATAAACTAACAGGCACACAGACAAACAAGTTACAAAATGTAGAGGTGTCTAAGGTAAAATTTCACCCACTGCAGCAGTGTGGAAATTCGTGGCAAACATTCACCATAAACTATTTTTTTTTAATAAAAAAAAATTGGTAGACATTTTATGAATAAGCTAGGGCTCAATCTATACCTATTAGAAAACTTGAATGAGTAGAGGGTAGACAGGTTGCATGAAAAGAATATATTTCCTACAAGATGTGGGACTGACATGGCATCTTATGGCCTTGGTATATGTCTCATTGTAACATTACTCTAAAGCATCATTATCACTAGGGGATTTATTCTATAAAGCTTGACATGTTAGTTAGGGCAACTTGATAAATCTTTCATAACTTTCAATCCCAAGGGTTCATCAACAATAATTTCTTTTACATTATCACTCCATTGTAAAACAGAGAGCCATGTTGAGTAGAGAGAGGAACATCAACTAAGGTCAGGTCATCAGAGCTACAGTTATAAGAGATGTGTAGAAGACACTAAGGTGAGTACATAATTATTGAGAACTTGGGTACTGTGAAAAGGATACCAGTTCTTGTCTGCACCCTATACAACGAAAAATGGTTTACACATGTATTTTTGCTTAAGTATCAGCGACTGAATCCTTCAACTGCCTCAAATAAAACTGCAAAAATGTAGAGCTTTTTTTCCAACAGCCTAAAAAATGCAAAACATTATATGCAACGCCTGACAGTCGAAAAAGGTGAGCTATATATGACTACAGCATCTAGTAAACTTCTTTTCTTTTCAATTTCTGGTGGTTTTTCACGGCTTTTAGGACGCGTAATTTTCAGGCTAACATTGTATCCTAAACAATTTCCAATTCACACTCTTTAAACAATAATTTTGAGCTTACTTAAATGTATACTGTGTCGCTCAATTTCCACCTGCAAGTTAAGTACTACACGTATTATTCAATTCCATCTCTCTCGCACTCCAGATGTCTACATTTTACGACTTACCGCTACCATACCCTTAATCACTTTCGCTGTTAGTACAGTGTATTCCTCCACAAGTTCGGCGAGGTAAAATAGGGCAGCAGCTTTGGAAAGATTGTGGAAAAAAAAAAAAACAGACAAGCGTGAACACCCACTGACGATATTTACAATCTCAAAACACTGCCAAAGAGTGTATCTGGGAAACGCCAGAATCGCTTTGAAAGTACCTAATGCAAGAGTCAAGAAGAGAACATGGAAGATCATAGAAAACCAGCTTAAAATGTAAAGAAACATCTCGAATCAGTAAATAATCGAGCGATTCTCTGCCAGGTATCAACACCAAAATTCTGCAAACGTGCAATCTGTGCAGCTGTGTAGCCACTCCTTTGGTCCTCATCCAATTTATAGGCCCGCATTGCATGCATATTGAGCAAAGAGAAAAGGTACACAGCAACTTTTCAGGAATCATATTTTTTCGGACTTATGCTCCTTTGTCGGAGATTTCTGATAGAAACCAATCCAATTTTCTGGCTTGATCACATGAATAAGAAATTCACTAAATCAAAAGCTTTTATTTTTAATTGTTTTTAACTATTCATGAAAAATGGCAACTTGAACAAATCAAATTACTCTATTTATTTCCTTTAACACCTTGATAAATTTCTTTATATTCTTTAATTCCTAGTTTGGAGTTTCAATTTCATTAATGTTTCCTCCGGCTGTTTTTCATATTCTTTACTTGTTTTCTGGCAAATCTTCACGAAAATTGCAATTTAACCAACGTGAAAATGAACTTAAAAGGATAATAGTAAATAGTTCCGACCTGAAATCAGTCAAAAGTTTTATTCTGAATGAACCTAAATAAAGTTCCAGTTCCGGTACGTTATAAAACTAATCTCTCAAAAAGTTTACATAAAACGATGTTGCATTCAAAATTGTCTCCAAGACTCAAGCAAGATGATCCAATCACTTTGGGTCAGTTATTTATTTTTGTTATTACGGGTTGACCTGGACGCTAGTAAGCAAAAATAGATAGCAAACAATTGAGCGATCATTTTCTAGTGACCATCGCGATTTTCCATTTTATATTTTTCTTAATCACACAAGGACTGCAACAATCATGGGACAATAGGAAGTACACCGTTCTAATCTGCATGGAAAACAAATGATCGAGAAGAAAAACTTGAAATAATACATGAAATGATATTTTCCGTTTACCAAAATATCTTTGAAAAACATTGATTATTAGTCTTTGAAATATACGCGTCATACATGGTATAAGTGGCCAAAGAGCCCAACAGGCATGCAAGAGTTAATTTCCGCTTCGAACGGGTGACACAATTGGAGTTGATCTGACCCTCTGGGCATCACCTGAATCGTATCACGAAATGAAATATTTCAGCCTCTTTGAGAGGGTTCAATATCTTTTCTTGGTCAGCAATCGGTTAGATAAAAATTTTTATCGCTTTTTCGGGCATTGTAGTGCATATTGCGAGTTTAAATGGAGATTCGTGATGGTGGGCTAAAATGCTCGCACACTTGCGTGATTGTACAGCCGGCTGTTTTGCTGTCATTTTTTTCACTTTTCGTTTTCTCTATGCCCTCCAAAATGATTTTAATAATAATAGAGTTTATGAACTTGGTCATAGATATGTGTTGGGCCCTTTTCAGAGTCATATTAACCCACGCTTTGCGGGTCGGGTTAAAATGGCTTTGAGTCGAACCCAAAAAATTTTATGCCCACGAACATAAACTCTATTGTTTCAACTATCGTTACCTCGCAAACAGATAAGAATCATTCCTGAAATTACTGCATTTAGATTGACTTTAAAACCTCTGCGTGTTTCATTTCATCTCAAATTACCAACAGTCACGTTTTTAGTTTATCATCCATTGGAGAATTGTAGCAATCGCATTTCTTCCGATCTGACCCGAATACCTGAATTTTTTGCCAGTAGTTTCAGATTGTATATGTTTTGATTCGAAAAGAAACACGTATTTGCAAGGAAGATTATAGTTCTTTGCATTTTTTTTTCAATTTAATATTTCAAAAAAAAAAAAAAAAGGAAAAGAAATCGGCTAAAAAGACTAAAAGAGATGTCATCTGAAATCACGATCCTCTTTTCATTTTCTAAAACATTGACACTAACATTTTTGATTATTTATACTTTCATAATTTCAGATTGCAACAACAGCAGTTACAATAGTTTGCGCACGATGTAGGTTATATGTTGCGTGTATGGGGTCTTGTTTCTAACTCTGAAAACCCTGAACATAAACAAAATAATTACTACCTAAAAATGGATGATATCAAGATCAGAGAGTGATGGGAAGCTAATTCATAATACCATGTAAATATATATCTTGGAAGTTCTCCTACAGTTGATGCGAAACCCAGAAAATGCTAAGATTGTCAATAAACTAATACCTTTCCTTATTTACAACAAGTAGTTTATTTATAATTTCTTATCATTGAAACAAAATTTCAAATTTTTATGGACAATGGACATTTTAGTAGAAGAAGTAAACCTTTATTGAAATTTTCTCGTTGATTCGCATTTATTCATGTCAAATCTAGTTCTGGGAACTCCTCCTTCTTCTGGTTCACCCAAAGTCATTTATTTGCAATAAAATCGACAAATTGCTGATGCGCACATCTGTTATTGACTAAAAAAAAATAAAAGAATAAAACAAAAAAGAGCACAGTTGATACGATATTTAATTGACTGCATTTACACTAATTGCTACACTTTGAATTATAATATTTCAAATGTAACAAAATGTAAGGCATTTAACATCGCAGCGCGCTTAAAAGCCATAACTGACCTGAATTTTACTATCTCTGAATTTTTTCCTTCAAATAAAAACGTATTTTTCAGTTATATGTTTTTCTGTGTCCAACTGATCTGTGAACAGAGCTAGCCAAATAAATAAACGCCTCTACATTTCCTGGCCATTTCTTCAGGTCACCCTTTACTTAATTAAATCGAAGATTTTTTCAATTAGCTTTCACTCTCCTCCTTTGTGATGAATGCGTTTAGAGACCGGAGAGGAATCTCATCGAATGTCACTTGCAGTAAATGTGACTTGTCCGAGTGTGACGTCAAACCAATACGCCGCCAAAGGGTTCTTTTTGTCTTGGACCCGGTTCTTTTTCCGAGGATGAGTGATGTGTTTGTGAAATCTTGACATCCTCGAAATAAAACAACGGAGGTAAAACACAGAAAGAAAGACCACATTTACACTTTAGAGATGGCCGCCTAATTACGAGAAGGAAATTTTAACCATTCCAACGGTCAAAATTAGCGGTTCCCGATCGTTAAACGAGTTCTAGTCAACCCACGAAAAACATATATTTTGGGCTTGTGATAGTTTGACGCAAATTCGATTTTAAAATAGTCGCCAAGCGTAGAATTCTTTTGATCGGTATTTTCTGGAAAACGATATTTCAGCGTTTTCCTGTGGATGAAACAATGTTTAAAGTTTTACTCATGTTCGTTCTCGTAAATTGTCATTTATCTTGTTGCTCCTTTGAGGACGAAGAGTTCATCGAAAAAGTCCAGGAAGGACATTTCAACATGAAATGCGAGAAAATGGTATGTAGAGAGTTTTATTATTTTTTCCCCTAAATCGAGTTTTGATATATAATGTTTCTTATAACTATGTCCATTACTCCAGTTACTTTAATCGTTCCTTTATCATTAACAGTTATTTTTAAACGCAAGATTCTTACAATTTATAAAATGAATTTTTATCTTTACATGTGTCTTCCTCAAAAGTACGGTCACCCGTTGCCGATGAATGTGAGTAGCATGGACTTTTTTTGTTTTTTTTCTTTACCTAATTTTAGACTAGATTTAAACTGACGTAGAGAGCAGAACAGAAACATAATCCTATAAACTACCTTAGCGGGCGAAGATGGCATTCTATCAAATATTCCATCGTGAATAGTCGATTTTATTTCTTGTGATATCATTGCACCATTTTATCATACTTGAATCATAACAGGCTTAAGAAATGCAGAGCAGTGTGTGCCTTTTTATGGTTGCTGCTCTTTTTATCGTCTACATAATACGTCGCTTTGTGAGCATGATTTTCCAGTCTTTTGTCTCGGCATCAACTGAGCAAGATATGTTAATTTATTATCGTGTTTTTGAATGTATGTTTAGGTTTGATTATTTAGTATATATTTTTCTTCTCCTTCTCGCTCAGAAAACCACAAGAAATGCGGCTTTTCAAATATATCTTTGCCCTGAGAAGAATTTTCGCTGTTAGCTAGAATCAATAATTATTTCAGTCATCAGTTGACCATTGGATAAACTTTCTCTTTGTAAGCTTTGCAGTTATTCCCGAATTCTTGGTGTGATGAAGACACCTTTCACCAAAACTCGTCTCGAAATCAGAATCGGAACAATGACAATGAACAGAAAAATTACTCAGGAAAACATTGCGTGCGAAAAGCTGGCTTTTTCTGTCGTTCAAATTTCTTTTACCTCAAACCTGTGAAAAGTTATTTGACAGTACTGTAAATTATGGCAATATAGGACTGTAATTAAGGAAGATGAATATGAAAATTTCTAGAAAACAGGAAATAGGCATTGACACAAAAATTTACAACAATGTACCAGCAATCACAAAGACCCTCACGTTTTCCAAATTAGGATAATTTTAAATTTGTCTGAAAAACTTCCTCTTGCCTTACGTTTACCCTTCGAAAAATCTCGTCTCTATGAAATTTAAACTTTATGAAATCTGATTTCATTTAATGCGAACGTTTCTAATGGTGCTAAAAAATTTCTGAAACACCCTTTGGTAATGAATGTGTTTTGCCATCATATAAAAAACATCTTGAGGATTTTGTGACGGATCATGCCCTCAAAAGATCGACTCATGCTTTAATGTGAAATTTTGTTTTTTAAACCTTGTATTTGGTTGGTTTGAAAATATTTTTCTAGCCCCAAGTCATAGAACGTCGCATGGTTCTTTTGATCAGCTCGCTCTGAGGCAGCCGCGGCATATGCTGCACCAAATGTAGTCAGTAGCTGCAACTACTCAAATATACCAAATGTGCCACCAACGTTTAGATAGAGTTTGTATTTCGCTCATTTCGCTCTCTGGTAGACACACCACGCTTCTTGAACGGTGTTAGGAGTGAAGAGGCTCTATCAAGAGTCACCAGTAATGCGCGCGATGCAACTGAATCAAAGAAGGAAACGCCAAAATGAATTCAGTTCTATTCGGGTAAATAAAGAAAAAATGCCTTGAGCCGGACTCTTACTTGTGATTGTTGTAAACATTACAGAGAATCTTTTCCCGAAATAACTCTCAGTTCAGTTAGATCTTTTGAGCCGGATGTACCAAATTCTTAAAATAGGACTTCATATGATCATTGAGAATCTACGTTGCGCTTCAGTTTTTCTGTAATCACTGTAATTGCCAGATTTTCTCTCATTACTCTTTTGTCCCTCAACCACCGTTCTAAGCCTTAGCCGGGAGCGTTTCAAGAAACGTAACGCCGAGTTTATGGGGTATTTTAGCATTTGCTTGTCAGTGAACAAAAATAACTGCAATAACGTCTCCTTGTGAGCTAAAAAGGACGTTGTAAGCGGGATGTCTTTGGAAGGTGTTCACTGAATGCCTTCAAAACACTTCTCAGTTAGCTTCTACGTGTAGACCGGTTGGAACATTCTTGATGGCAAAAGAATCTTTTACTGAAAAACAGATTTAGATTACAGTTCAAGACATCGATGTTTGAGACTTTCTGTGATAGCAGACGACTCCTAAAAGCTGATAGAACATTCACTCGGTTTTTTTTTTTTTTTTAGTTTCACCTGTCCGGGAATACATGAAGAAAAAGGATTAGTGTTTCTTGTTTGTATGCAAGTGAGCTTCAGCTCGATACAAAAAGTTTAAATTCATCATATTAGATATTTATGTACATGTCTCTTCATTTCAATGGATGAATAGAATGGTTTGGGTTAACCGAAGGCCAAGCTGCCGTTCTAAAGGGGAGTCAGCTTAGACCATTAGGATGTTGTATTGAATATTTGATTGAAAAGAGGTTTGTACCGATCAATTGCGCCGAACGGATACCTTTTTCCCTTCAAGAAACATTGGTTTCCACCACTGGGAAATCATACAGAACACTGTTTAAAACTCTAAAAAAGGGAACTCCAAAAACGATCGTAGTTGATGTAGACAGTTTTTAATTTGAGATCTGATTTTGGGTAGCAGTACGATGGTTATGGAAAAACGGACTAAAAGTTTGAACGGCTAGCAAGTTTGAACTCAAATTGTCACTTCTTTACCCCTTTTTCATACTTATGAATGATATTTTGGAAAATTTCTGTTAGTACCAAAGCAGCTTAAACCCTGAAGTAAAAAAAAAAACAAAAAAGATGCAATATAAAAGAATGGAACAGTTGAACACTTCATCAAATTATCCACTGACTGTCCGCTCGACTTGAAATTGGATATGATTCGAAAAATGATGACATGTAGAAGTTAGCAGCTAGGCCTAAGATTTACAGTCAAAGAGGTATCAAATGGTCCTTTTGAGCATTTTTGAGCATCTAAGCACTTCGTTTCATTTTCCCAGCACGAACGGATCAAATTTATATTGCGTGCAACTCTAGTACTTCTTGCAGGGTTTATACCTAACATCGCGTTTCTTATGTTACATTATTTTCCTCGCTACACATGGCGATATCGGAAAAAACACCGCTTTGGCACATTGAGATCAGGGGTTTTTTATTTTTAGAAGTTTGGCATGTAAAGCGCTACCTATTTTTTTTTTTTTTTTTTTTTTATATATATATATGGCAAAAATCCGTGGAGACCTTCTCAGGCCGGGAAAATCCTCGATTGTACCTTGAGCGAAATTATGTGCACTTTTGAAAAACAAAGCATTTGGCAATGGCGAATTTTCTCCGAAAATTTAGCAAAAATCGAATGTACCAGGACTACTGCTAAAATTTAACGGAAGTGCATGAAGCCTCACTATGTAGGAGAGGAAATTAGATGGAGAAATCCACTGAAAAGTACCGGTATTTTTCAGTTTTGCTTATAATTGATGGACATGCTTCTCCATTTTTCCAGAGAGTGCATGACCAAAGGGCTTCGGCAATCAGCTCTCGGAATAGCAAATGTAAACACGGGATAGAAGCCGGAAATTACCAATACATCGCATCGGTAACAAAAGACTTAAAACTCGCAAGCGTTTATGGTGCTTTTGTCGATAGCTAAAAGATCTATCCTTTTTGTTCGCATGGAGTAGAAAAAAATGAGAATGAAACTTTCTGCCGAGTATACTGATGACTTGGGTGTCCATTTAAAGCTATCCGATTTAAAAAGTGGCAATTAATCGCTGTCATTGGATAAATCAGCAATGTCCCGGACCTTCAATAATCTCTGTGCATAGAATAGCTGCATGATAATAGTAATCTTGCATAATAATAATAGTCTAGCATAAGAAGATGAAGATCATTTTGATGATAAATTTAGAGATAAGAAAAGTAAGAGACATCTTGAAAGACAATACTAAGCCTGATTTACCGGTTCAACTTTTTCGCCATCTTGGGAATTTAATTTACCACTAATTTTCTTTTCTGAAATTGTATTTTTCAACTGCCGAAGTTCGGTGGTCTATTGCTCAATACTGATTGGCAAACATTCTATGAAAAACAGATATGAGCGATCTTCGATTACTCCACGCATGACCAACCTTTTTAAATAATGGACTCACCAAAGCCCTTGAGCTTGAAATGAACGGTCTATCTGTTATAAAAGCATTCACTGACCAAATGTAACGTCTTTGCAAGTTGCGCAATTTTTGGTTGGAGATTTTTACATCTTGTCGGTAATTCCACAGGTTACCGGGATCAAGGGAAGCCTTCGTCCTTTCAGCTGTGGGAACAAGTGTTTAAATGTAAGTCACTGAGTTGAAAGTACTACAGCATTTTTCCACACACACAACTTCTAGTAGAGGTCATTTACGGATCGAATGAGGGGGTTTTTTTTTCTCCTTTTCGTGGCTTTTGATGTTACTTTCTGTTCAAGTAAATCATTTTCATACTGAGTATTAGATTGAAGTTCAAATAATATCGAAATAAGGCAATGTATTAACCTGTATGACCATTGAAAAGCAAGAAATTTTAAACCGTACATAATCTCTTGTTGTAAGGCAATTGTCCTTTGAGTGTTAATTTGTAATTGGTCTGAAAATCCAAGATGCGAACAGTTTTCCGGGAGTGAAGCTCGAGGAGAATTGTGAGCTTCGTGGTACTGAAAATATCCAAGGAAAAATATATGAGCACATTTTGGCGCCAAATGGAGGCTGTTGTGTTTATTATTCTTCAAATATTCGTTCACGTTTTTGGTATCTGGTGCGACTTTATGAACAAACAGAATGCCCCTTCTTTTGAAAAAACCACAAAAGCGCTCTCTCATCTTAAATTAAAATTTAAACGAAGACTTATCTTGGTGGACGTAAGGTTTGAAAATTGGGGAATATCACTTAGGGTATCATCAGATATTCACCAGTCTTAGCTGAGGAATATTCGGTCAGGTGATGCGTTTAGACCAATCGTTAGCACGCAAAAAATATTGATGGATAATATTGTTTGATATCTGTTGCCAGACGACAACAAGTTATCACTGAGTCGTAATAGAGAATTTTTCAATCATTGTGTTGAAAGTGATGTGTGATTGTATCAGTTTTGTTTTACTTCGCTCTGTGATTGGTCCAGAAAACTTGCACCACTCTTTCTCAACTAATTAAACCAGAAACTAAATCCAATCCCAATAAAAGTTTGATTTTAAAAGGGCTGGAAAACGCGGCGACCAACTTAAAAGTTTTCCCGCCCTTTACACAGTTTTGTCGATTACATTGAATTTTTATTGGCCCTATATGGTGTTCTCCTTCCAATGATTGGCTGTAGTGATTAATTTGGTTTTGGTCTTACAAAACCCAACTAAAAAACGCTCTATTGTGAAAGTGCTGTTTTGGCCGAATTTGAAGTTCCACAGTGACAAGGCTACTGACACCACTCTCCCTCGTTACAGTGCAAGTCGCCATTCAAGTTTCATGCAACAACTGTGAAAGACTGTAAAGCTGAATGCAATCAAGTAAGTACTTAGTTATAACCACTTGTTATAGAAATTGATATGAGGCTTCTTTATGTCAAACGAACTTTAGTACATGTTTATTGATGCGGTAACCAAGCTGCAAGGACCTGTTTCTTTAAAGTCACTCTAGTAACCCGGCCCTAAAAGCTGAGCAGTGGTACTAATCGCTTCGATCATGTTTTGGATAAGCTTCGGCTGGAAAAGCAACTTGGTTCGAGTACAGACTTGGCCTAAACTTACATTGAGTCAGGTAGCATTCAATTATAACGCTGTTTTTGAAACCTGTCCCCATTTCAGACTAGCAGTGGTGACCCGTGTGAACAAGGATGCGAGTTTCTTCACAGCGTTATTAATTCAGGTAGCGATCACGAAGACACTTGTTTTTAGATGGATATAATAGGGAAACGCACCTTTGATTTAGGAAAGAAGCTACCACCTGCCACTTGCCATACAAAAATAATATAAAGAACTTCAATTGAGAACGAGAGCCAAGGGAATTATGACGACAATATTTCTCAAGTTGATTTCCACAGCTGAAAATTTCTAAGATTGATTTCAATTAATTATTTCCCCTTAAGGGAAAGGAGGAAGATTGGAGGGAGATCATATAGTTTTCAGGGGGGAAGAGAGGGGGGATCAGGTTACTTCCAATGATGGGGGGAACCTAAGAATATTTGAGAGCTTTATGGGGGGATAGGGTAAGTTTTATTATGACATTTTATGATGTGACGTGAAGTTTTATTGGCTTGATTGGTATGGCCCTGCACTACCATACAATTAAACCAGTCCAACATGCAGGATTTTATTTCAACTGTGTGGAGAATATGCTGTCTTACGAATGATTTCTGGAATTGATAAGATGATTTTCGGATGAAGAAGATGAACCGCTGGCCACTTTTTTTTTCACGCTCAGGCACTTTTGACTCAATTTTTTGTTTTCATCTCGTATCTGCCTCCGCTGGCCAGAACAAAGCAAAAATGACTATGCACGGCAACAAAAAATTTCTCAGCAGACTATGTAAACAGTCATGCCCAGATTTTGTTTCATTTCTTTCTTTGTAAACTGTCAGATGCAATGCGCTGGGTCAGGATACTCTACAAAGTGTTGTAAAGCTCACCAGGAAAAATAGAATTAAAATTGCTTCATAAACACATTATTAGTTTCGTTATCAAAATAGCTCTAAATACCTCAAGTTGCTTGGATTATCCTCTCTCATCAATTCCTTTGTAACGCAGGTAATCGACCGAGTGGGATCCAGTATGACACAAGGAACGTCACTTCCAGAGGACCGTACCTTTTCTGTCGCACATCACGAGAGTTATTGGTCAACTTTGAGTTTCGTCTTGTCAGTGAGATTGCTGTTGAATTTGAGCCCGTTACCTTTATTATCTTTCTAAAGTTGAACAAAACGCAAGATTGGTCGATGTTTAAACTGGTGAGCAATCATTCTTTTAACGTATATTGTTGATTAATAGGTTGCTTGGCTTGATTCCCTTAACTTGAATAACTAATAAGAAGTTGACTATAACCCACAATTTTCATTCATAATTCTTTAATCGTCCTTTATTAATACCAGTTACTTCGCCCTACCTCCATTTAAACAATAGAGTGTTTCTGTCGAGGAACTATCGGCTGATAGTTGCCACGTGGAAATTTGATGTTCTTAAAACCAATTTTTTGCCCGAGAAGCGAAGCTTCGAGGGAAAATATACTAGTTTTAAGAACATAAAATTTCCAAGGAGCAACTATCATACCGATAGTTCCGAGACATAAACACACTATTGTCTTTATTGTTCACCACTAAATTTTCTTCCGCGCGCCAGTTGAAAAACAGTCAAAACCCACCAATCAAATATTTATTCATGCGTACAGCCTGTCACAAACGTCAATAATTCGCAACCGTATATTAGCTAAATAATACGCCATACTTGTCAGATTGAAAAGTCACTGTTTTTCTGATCTGCCTAACTTCGCGGCCGTCAAACCATTCAAAATTATTCACAGGTGCGTATTATCCATCCGGGTATTTTCCGCGGACGGGCACCATGGGCTGATACTGTCTCTCCATGGATGAACACTATCACGTCACGTGATCAATTTAAACCAAAAACAATCGGAGAAAATGTAGTAGCGAACGACATGAATACTGAAAGGTAAATAAATGAAGGGGGTAAGTTTCTAAAGAAACCGCGGTGCTGCGTCGGTGGGGGGTAACAAGGTAATGTGGTAATATCAACTAAGTTGAAATTGTACATTGGCCACCGTAAAGAGTTAAAAAGCTGACGTTTCGAGCGTTAGCCCTCGAGATGTCAGCTCTTTAATTCTTTACGGTGGCCAAGTTACAATTTCAACTTAGTTGATATTACCAAATTATAATGAAAGATAAATGACACTCCAACATCATCGAGATTTTCACCGGACTATTCGCTCCTATCGATATCATTATGGAGCTGCACCCCTGCTCTGATAAGTCGGGATTTCCTCTTACGTATCTTGCCTTTAACAGCCTGCATGAGTTGGTTTTTACTACAGAAACATAAGTATGAAAAGTAGTATCAGCATCGTTTTTGTGAATAAAAACAAACAGACAAATAGGAAAGGAAAAGAGCAAAACAAAAGAAAACAAGGCAATTCTACTGACTGAAAATAGCGTACCAGTTGATGACGTACCAGTTGTCCTCCTTAGGCCAAGTAAATTTGGTCGAAAAAAAATTCCATTTACTTCCTTCGCTTGGCTTGACTATGCTCAGATCACCTTCAGCAAATAATTGAACGTGAAACTTACCTATCATTTTTTTTTTCATGTACATAACATCATTGTAATTATTCTCACTATTGTTATCATACTCAAGGCATCTTAAACATCATCATTGTCATCATTATTTTATGTCATTAAGTTAGAACACGCATGAACGATACTGGAGCTTTTAGAGTTTTTTTGGCCTTTTAATCGCAGCTAATATGCAGTCTCATTACCTATCAGCGTTAAATCTCATACCTTTTTACGATGCTCTGCGAAACAAAGAGGAGCTGTTTCCAAACAGAACGCTCAGTACAGGCTAAATATCTATACATGATTTCAATTCAGTCTTCAGAGTTGCCATTCCATGCAAGTGGTCTTTATAAAGGCTTTAAAATTCAACTAGCTTTTGCCATAATAACATCAAAGGGACTGCAATTTGTACCGGATTCTAAAGAATTCCGCCATATTGGAAAATGGATGTCGACGTTGAGTGGTAAGTGTGTATCCACTAGCTTTTATACACAGGATTTTTATCAGACACTGATTTTAATGCATTTTTCGATTTTCAGGCGTTTTATCAAAATTTTTGTTAGTATTTTTGGTCATGATAGTGGGAAGTCTTAGTCTGTGAAAAGATTAAAACTAAAGCAAAAAATTCATCTAATAACAAAATCTTTCTCAAGAAGTCCGCAACTCTTATTTTGACAATTGTTTTTAGTTCATCAGTTGATGATTATTAAATGTATTTTAGTTGAGTTTGATACAGAGTAAGTTTCATGACTTGCCGTCGTAAAATAACTTAGAAAAGGGTGGGATGAAATATTGAAATATCAAGAAAACTGCTCTCATGAAACCACACCCATAGGAACAATAAGAAACAGTCTATTTCTACAGAAAAGAATCCAAGAATAAGCTGCGATACATTGACCCTTAAAGGGATGGACCACTATTTTTCTGGAGGGTGGTATGAGAAATATTGAAAAAAATTGTTTGCAGGGTCTGAAAAGACAAAATAAAATGTTTGCAAATGTGATAGGGTAACAAAAAAATGTTTGCAGAGAAGTCAGGTAAGATATTACCAAAACTGAAATAAAAAAAATAAAGTAACAAATTGAAGCATAAGTATTATAAAAATTAACAAAATTTGGCACTAAAAAGTGGTCACTCTGTATTAAGCAAATAACAACTCTGAAAATAGCTGAACAATTCTTGAAAAACTGGGAATTTATTGTGGCAATTAAATCTCAAAGTTACTTGTCAACATATTGATTACGTTCTTCGTAAAATAGTTCAATAAGGTAATGGTAATATTTAGCACAAATAAAAGGAACACTAAAAAAAAAATGGAAAAAAATTGTTTGGGGAGACGTGTATGTTTTTAAAAAAAATGTTTACCGAAGAGAATTTCTCATACTCCCCTCCAGAAAAATAGTAGTCTGTTCCTAAACCTTAAGAGTGGCTAGCAATTAATTTTTCCAACAGTAATATGTCTGGATCATTAATAAAGATGATGAGAATATAGGAAATTAATGCTAAGCTAAGAAGCTTTGATTTTTTAATGAATTCTCCTTGTCAGTATCAAAGGAAAACATACAGACAAAAGTATGGAGAATTTGGATACGGCTGTTAGGGTGTAAAGAGTTAATATTAGCATCAGCTTTCCTTTTTTTTTTTTTCATCGCAAAGTGCGGCACGACGACGTTAAAAAGTCGATCGCAGGGGTGGCGCGGTAACACCTGAAAGAAATGAAACCAATATAATTAGATGCGTTTTGAAGGATGACACATTTCCTCTGTGCTTTTGGATAAATTCGTAATCTTGTGTCATTTCTTGTGCAAACCCTTCTTGTTCCTTTGCTTTTCATATCAGATGAAAATCTTATAGACCCTCCCAGGGACGTTCGTGTCAATTTGAAAGCATCAGGTGACAAATTTGAGGCGCATGTGACTTGGCGTGTGGCGCCGCACAGTAAGTAACATTTTGCGCAACTTAAATTCGACAAAATTGTAATAGCACACATCAAGAAAACTGGAAGACTTTGGATCAAGACCCTCTTCTTTTACGTTGTAAGTGCTTTTATGACTGCAGGCTTTTAAAGGGAGCACCTGAGAAAATCACGCTTAACAATCTACAACTATAGCCTAACTCATCACAAAGCAAAGGACAGAAAGGACTTAAGTACAGAGTTGAATGCGCACGATATAGACACTAAACCGAGTGTCCCATTCAACCGCACCGCTGAGCGAGACAAAACAAATCGTGTGGCTAATCTCGATATTTTGGCAAATAGAGGATGTTGTTTCAAAATCTCAATTACCACTTGTGCCATTTCTAAATTAGTGTGTATACAGCCGTCCTTATACTCTCCAAAAGAAAATCGATTTTTTTTTAGAGGGTAAGGGCGACTCTAAATATTCCCGCTGATAAAGAGCTTATGGTAAGCCCGTGCACGGCCTTTCAAGGTCAACCGGATATAAAGATTAATGCTTGAAAACAACAGAAAAATCTGCAAGAAAAGAAAACATAACGAGAATTTCACTTCACAACAATCGTTCTAAAGAGTCTGGAGAAAAAACACAGCCTCTGAAATTCCTAGTGAAATTCCTCTGAAATTCCTCCAAATTCCTAGTGGTTTCAATTTTCTTAAAAAACATCTTATCAAAGGCAGAAAGCGTTTCATCTAAGCTATGATTAACACTTGTTAAAAATTTTGAAGGCAAAACATGTGACTACATGATTGACTGGCGAGCTGATGACGCAGATCACTGGGACAGTAAAAAATTTAACCTCGAACGAGAGAAGGTAAAGCTTGATCGAATTTAAATTTTTATCGACGAGATCACATCATCTTATTCACTTTTTTTTAATTTTATAAGCACCATATAGACACAAAGATGCATTGTGTACTGCAAGGTTTATTACCAAAGGAGAATTACACTATAGACGTAAGTTATTTGTTTATTTTTGACACTCATTTAATAGAGCGAGTTGTAAAATCAAATATTTCCACTCGCACTTGAGCGTGTAAAAAAGGCACGTAACTGTATATGCTTCACCTGAAACTGATGAATATGCCAGTGAAAATCCTCATTTGTGAAATCTTGCGTCCCTTATGATGAAATTAGATTCAAAATAGGTGAGCAATCCGGTTTTGCTACAGGAAAGACTTAAATCGTCTGTTGATAGCGCTGTGCCACCGAAAAACACTAAAAGAATTCGACAACCAACCCAATAAATGCTTGTTTTTGGAGGGAAATGAACAACATGCTGTGTTTTGCGCGAGCATATCTCGTACATTTTTATTATTTAGATACTGATGAAATACCAGGATTTCTCCTTTTACTAAAAAATCATATCTTCACCGCGCGCAGTGAAGATCATCATTATTTTA